CTTCTTCCCAGCTGCTGCTTCGTCTGCTTAGCTTCTCCACACACGCATCACATATTTATACAGTACAGCCCCTCCTCCTGATGTCCCGCCTTCCACTCCCCATAGGATGGAACTTTCCCTCCAAACCCATGACAGACAGGTAACATCAGTGCTGTATGTAACACTGACATCTTCAAATTAATGGCTCATTTTTCTCCAGTGTGATCTTTTTTATGAAATATAATTTCAAAAACACCTCTTGCTTTCTTGTCTGAATAGCTTTCCTGTACCTAGTTGCAGAATAGCTGGTAACAAAATACTATTATTCAGTAATGCTTGTGGGGGGGCAGTTTTTCTTGATGTCTCCAAAGTTTGAAAACAAACAAAACAAAAAACAAAAACAAAGAGAAAAAAAATTCAATAACATGTGAGAATTTCAGTAAGAGATGCTGCTTTGCACAGTAATCTATTTCTCTCAAATATACTGATAAACTCTAAAAGTCTATTATCTTTACAAACCTCTTAAGGGCATTTTTTCACACCTCTGTCTATTTGTTGCAAATTACAGTTACAAGAATAAGTTAGCTTAGCATTCAGAAGGCATTCTATGACATTACATTTGTTTTTTTCTGGCATAGAAAAAGTTTCATTCTTGTCTTTAAAGAAATAAATAGGTTAGCACTATACCTACCTTCTCCCAGTTACAACGGGCAAGAGGTCATCTGATTTAGTTTCAGTTATTTTAAACATGACTTTTTGTAAATCTGCTATTCCCACAGCCATGTCTTCTAGCATTCCAATTTCCTCACCTACACAGAAGGGAAATGGAATTTCAAAATAAATTAAAAAAAATATGATTGCCTAGCTTTTTGTTTTAGAAGTACAACAATGGCACATGAATCAAGATTTTTAAATTTGGATGTTAGCATCCATTTCTTTCCCACCAGGTAACACAAAACGATACTTTTCTGAATAAATATCTTTTTTGGAATACTTATCCACAAAGGTAGGCATAATGTTTCTGCAGTGCCCGTCTGAATCACTGACGGCCATTGTATACATAATATTATCCATAACTACCTGAACTGCATCTTATATTTTCCATCCCAGAAAAAAGATACACGTAAGTAGTTCATTGTGGAACCTGGTCTTTGTTAGCCATTGTATAACAATAGTTTTAATTATGTAAGAATGTATCTACCCTTTTCAGAGAGCTAGTGAGAATACTTTCAAGTTATCAGTTTGCACCACTTATTCATAGTAACAAACATACTATATTCACTGCTGCTCCTAATATTGGTATATCTGTTTAGCATAGTTTGAAATGAAAGTCTTGGTGAAGGTGCTGAGGGCTTATTAGCACTTCTATTAGAGAAAGATGGTTTACATAGCATCATAAACCTGTGTCTGGAGAACTAGAACAACTTGTTATAAGAGATTGCATGTAACTCTACTATGCATATCTATAATAGAGACCATGGCAAAAACCATAGCCATGTACCTAACATGCCTTTTGTGTCAAATCTGCATTAACTATTATTATCATTCAGCTTACATTTCAGTGCAGAGCCTTCTCAGCACAGAATTAGGGTCGAATGAAATGTTATCTCTTATTATATAGCACATACTTTTATTCGTTCTTTTTCCTTACTCATAAAAATGGGACACCAGCAGAGACGATGTGGGAGTAATTGTTCTTCCCCTGCTGTGATCTCAAAGTGAACTAGCCCTCACACTCTTGTAGTTTCTACAGGTTAACAAAGAAAGCTCAACTTTCAGCCCTCCTCCAGCAACTGCAGATCAGGACCACAGAGGGAAGCAAAGGTTTATAGTGACCCACCTCCTATCATCCTAGCACCATCTCCTAGATTCTTACTTTGGTGCATGAAAAAAGGAACAGATGAAGCTGAAAGCTATGTATTAAAATAAAAGTTTACTCAGATTCTTATAGCAACTACCAGCAAGATGAAGTTGATAAACAGCCTTCATATAAGCACCCAAATATTTGTTGAGATTTATGATGCCACGTAAGCTGAAATGATTCTCAGTAAAGTGTACCCATCAATAAGAAAATAACCTTTAATAACATTAACATATGGAATGTCAATTTATACTGAATAAACTCCACTGACATGAGTGTAGGAAAAAAAATGAATTCTATTTGCATTATGGACTTTCCTAAACAGTTTAGGGCCTTGATATCTGGCAGAGCGCCTTCTCCCGCCCAGTTCTGCCAGAGTCACTCGTTCCAGCCAGGCTGGGTGGATGAGGGGCCCAACACAAAGGGAGGTCTGGAAGGAAAGAACGAGGAACCAGGCTTTCTCGGCAGTGGCCCCTCGCCTTTGGAACAACTTGCCAGTGGAGATCTGCCTTGCTCCCTCTCTGGGTGTTTTCAGGAACAAACTTAAGACCTGGCTATTTGGGCAGGCTTTCCCTCCTGCCATATCTTAATTTCTTATACTTTCACCACCTTGGATCTATAATATATGTTTTTGGTTTTATTGTTTTTAAATTTGTAAACCAGCCAGAGTAGACCTTTGGTCTAGATGGATGGGATAGAAATCCAATAAATAAATAAATAAAAAATTCTATACTCCTTCTTGCTGAAGTAGGAAGGTACTTCTGAGGATCCAGGAGCTCTCTGAGATGGTGTAAAGTGCATTAAGCAGGGCTACAGCTGGAAAAATGAACAGGCAGAAAGAAGGGAATCCAATTCCAGCTCTCTGGATCCTGTCCATTAGCATACAGTGGTGCCTCGCATAGCGACGATAATCGGTGCAGCAAAAATCACTGCAAAGCCATTTTGTCACTATGCGATATTAAAAAGCCCATAGGAATGCATTGAAACCCCTTCAATGCGTTCCTATGGGCTTCAGACTCACCTTTAAACGAAAATCCTCCATATGGCGGCCATTTTCGCTGCCCGGTAAGCGAGGAATCCATCCCAAAAAACAGCAGGTGGCCATTTTTTTTACCCGGTGGCCATTTTGGAACTGCTGATCAGCTGTTAAAAAATCATCGCTTTGCGATGATCAGTAAGCGAAACAGGGTACCGATCATCGCAAAGCGTTTTTTCCCCATTTAAAACATCGCAATGCAATCACTTTTGCGATCGCAAAATCTTCATTGCTATGCGATTTTGTCGTTAAACGGGGCGCCCGTTAAGCGAGGCACCATTGTATTTGTATATAGTATACAAGTAAAACAACAGCCTTAACATTTCAAAGAGCTTCTGCAATAAGATAATTCTAAATGTATTTACTCAGCCTAATTTCTATTGATTCATAAACCTCTTCCACATAAACATCTAAGAATACAGCATACAAACAATTAAGAAATGTTTTAAAAATACATATAGTTCCAGTATTTTTAAATAAAAATACATAATTGCATGGTGGTAGAATATTTATTTGATTTCAGAGTGGAGACTGAGATACGAACCTGTTCAAGATGAACTATATTAAGTTTTCAACATGCCCGAATGCAGCCATTTGAATGCAATACTTACTATATGTACTAAGGAGTCCTTCATATTGAACAATTACTCCAACTGTATGAAGCTGCTGGAGGAAGCCTTGATCACGTAAACTGGAGTGTAATTTGATTACAAACCCACAGACCAGGCCAGCAAGCTAAAATGATGACAACAGCCATACAAACAGAAATATTAGTCACAGTACAAATAAAAATAACAAGATGTCTGTGGAAAAAGACTCCTGTCATGCGTTAATTGCAATACATATCCATCTTCAATAAGACTTGCTTCCATCTGAATACTAGAAACATTCATCTAAATCAATGGTTCCCAACCTTGAGTCCTCAGGTATTCTCAGACTAAAACTCCTAGAAGTCTTCACCACTAGCTGTGCTGGCCAGGATTTCTGGAAGTTGTAGTCAAAGAACATCTGGGGGGGGGCAAAGGTTTCAAACCACTGATCTAAAAGCACTACCCTGCCCGCAAGTGATGCTGTGCACGAGACATCACAAAGTAAAATATCCCAAGAGATCTTAAACTAAAGATATATTTTATTAAAAAAATTAAGGCACCAAGAACAGATCTTGCCATTCCACAGATCTGAACGACTCAAATCTGAACCACTGGTTCTAGTGTGAAACTTAGCTCTATTATGAATTTATTTATCAAAAAGATGAATAAACAGCAGGATGGAAGATGAATACCTGGATTATTAAAAAGCTTACATTCAGCAATGAATCATTATCCTGAATTTTGTGAATTTTGCTGCAACTAGAATGTACACAGTGTCATTTGGCTGTCCTCCACCCATCATACTACTGAAGTCAAATAGCATGTGCACACACACACACACGCACACACACTTTCAAAGATTCTATGTATTTATAAATAAGCCTAGAGACATTATTTTTCTCACTTTTAAAAGCTGTGTGTAACCTGAAAACATATTTCTGTACTGTAAAACATTGACAGACCTACTCAATTTCCCTAGCTCCACCTTAGAAATAAGGATGGTCTGTAGATAATGGATGGGATCCTGTGCTGTCATTCCATTCAAAGAACTGTTTCATCAGCAGAAAGAGGGGGGAGGTGGATTCCCCCCTTCCACATGCAACCCTTGGTGCATATTCAAAACCTGCTCCAAGGGGCTGGGAAGCATTCTGAGGCAGATTTTGGACAGGGAAAAGAACCGCAGGGGTGGAAGTCTTATCACATTAGCAGATAACTGCTAGCATAACGTTTTAAGCCAACAGAATGCACCCAATACATCTTCATAATATGAAAATGTAATCGTCTGGCTTCAACATTTCAAAACTTAATTTGAACTATCAAGATAATTTCTCGTTACTGAAGGAAGCATAAAACACAATGGAAATGCATCCATCTTTTGTTGGACTGGATTGAAACCTTTCTTGTGCGTGAGCAGAAAGCATGTCTGTGGAGGTGTCAGGAGGCATTATTTCCTTCTCATGGAACCACCTCAAGGGATGCTGCTTCAGTGGACCACTAACTGTTGCTGGAAGAGAAAGCTGAAAACACTTTGGGCTGTGCCTGTTTATTTATTAGTTACACTTATATATAAAACCCTGTATAGCAGGTAAACTTGGGATATAGAGTGACTGGCCCAAGATTGCCACTTTGTTTCATGGCTCAATGGGAATTCAAATCAGGATTTAAACTGCTACGTCAGGATGGTTTCTGTCATTCGGAGCAAAAGATGAACAATATGCTTTTGTCTTTAAAATCTGGAAGCAGAATGCTAATATATAATAAATCTATTAAAAGTAATTTGCAGTAAAGACTAAAATAAGCAGACTTCTCTCCTGAATTGAACAGATCTGAGCAACATGGTTTTGGCTATAAACATATTTTTCCAATCAATCAATCAATCCTGTGCTGCTATTTGTTTCCAGGAAGTGGCTGGGAATGTGGGTCTCAGACTTACTGAGGCCCCCGTTGTAATTTGTGCAGTGGCCCCCGGCCCAATGATGGCACCCCCATCTCTTAGCATGGTGGCATGTGGCAGCCTGGGAAGGGTGCTGGGGCATGCCAGGAAACTGAAGTGGGTCAGGGGAGGTCTCACTATGTGTGAATCAACCTTTTATACTTTGTAATTATATTTTTCGGGGCATAAGAATTATACACAGGGGGTCCAGTACTAGGATTCTGAATTAGTGACAAATTTGTATGCTTTAGTTATGTGGTTTTATTTACTTCTTCTTCTCTGCAGAGCCAAAAACATTTCAGACACTAAAGAATAACTGAGTTCCTATAGTGCAAAAGGTTGATGATATCCTCACCAGGGGGCAATTTTCACTAATTAAAAAATGCTCGCAATCGAGACTACTCACATCTCCAACCCATCCTTAACAAGAATACTTTACCGTATTTTTCCGTTTATAAGACAACCCAAAGTATAAGATGACTTCCCCCTTTTCTAACCCCAAATTAGAAAAAGCAGGGATCTAAGGGCTCCCTTTTTGCTAAGCCCTGTGCCTTGGCAAAAGGCAAGGAAAGCGGCTGTCAAAGTGACTGCCGCTTTTCCTCGCCTTTTGAGAAGGCACGGAGTTTAGCAAAAAGGAAGGGGAGTCGTTTAGGAAAGGGAACAACGGCTCCCCTTCCTTTTTTCTCACAGAAAAGGCACAGAGCTTAGCAAAAAGGAAAGGGAGCCATGGCTCCCCTTCCTTTTTGCTAAAGCTCCATGCCTTCGCAAAAGGCAGTGGTAAAGAGCTGCCTTCCGAGTATAAAAACAATCCTCATTTTTTTCTCTAATTATTTAAGAAAAAGTTGTCATTTTATACACGGAAAAATATGGTACCCCCCAAGCACTTGATGGCAGGCCTATATGTGCTTACAGACAACATCAAAATCTGAAGCAACTATTAACTACCTCCTCTCCTTTATCTTAGAGTCCTACATGAATATTTTCTCATGTACTCTCTCTATTCCCACTCTTATGTCTGAGCAAATGAGCTTGTTCCATGAAAGCTTACATTAAAATACAGCAATTAGTTTTTAAGGTGCCACAACATTGTGTTTTTTCTTTTGTTCTGTTTTGTTTCTTGCTGATACACAATAGAAGACAGTGGTAGACCAGGCCTTCAGGGCCATTTGATAAGACTGGTGGGGGACAGCAGAGGAAAGGTGTTTCGCTGAAAATAAGACAGGGTCTTATATTAGTTTGTGCTCCAAAAATGCATTAGGGCTCATTTTCATGGGATGTTTTATTTCTTTCATGTACAACAATCTACATTTATTCAAATACAGTCATGTCATCTTTTGGTTGCTGTACAATAGTGGAGGGCGGGGTTTCACTTAACTAGGGCTTATTTTTTGGTTTAGGGCTTATATTACGAACATACTGAAAACTCATACCAGGGCTTATTTTTGGGTTAGATCTTATGTTGGGGGAAATAGGGTATATCCTGAGGGAGTAGAGGGCAGGTTCACCTAGGGCTCAGTAGACCAAGCCACTGGTCCAGAGCAGGTGGTGTCCAGATGGAGGCCTGGTCTATCTGGAGGGCATAAGTAGCTCCAAGCCTTTCCTAGTGGAGAGCAGGACTAGCTGAATCCTGGCAGACCACAACTCTGGGATAGACTGTAGAGAAAGGCAACTTATTAATACATGTATTGTACATCTATATATCTTAACTATATACCTCAATATGTACACACACATTAAGCATATTTTAACATACAATACACATATTTTGATTTAAACATATTTTGATTTGTTTTTGTAGCTCTGACAGTGCTGCTAATATGCTGTGAACGAGAGAATATGCCGACAAGGTATTCAATTGCTGTAATTATTTCTTACATTGTTTTCACATCATGAATTGAAAGCTGATTTGGGGGTACATTTAGCGTTGTTTGCTCTGTGTGCAAAATAGTGAGATAATCCACTTAGGAACTGTGTTTTCTTCCCTATAAAATACTGCCTAGGGCATGCCACTTATACCTGAGTCAGTACTGTATTAAGGTGTGTTTTTCTTTTTTAAGAAGTCTGGCTCAGGTAAATGATTTATGGCGATGGCTCTGTCACAAAAAAAAAACAAAGAAATTTATGAAATGGAAGAAGCACCTACTGCTTGACTGAAGACAATATCTCTTCGCAGGGTCAGCATTAAGCATTGTGGCAAACTACATGCAAGCTCTTGAAGCAGAACGAAAGACATTGATTGTTTTGCCCTAGTCACCACCTCTCCGATGCAATCCTTCAGCGTAACTATGAGTGGATAAAGCTGTTCATACCAGTCACCTGTAACAAAAGGAAGATCAAGAAATGTGGTCAAAGTAGATAAAATCTTCTTTTCAGAGCCAAGTTAGAAACTGGTTGGGTCTAACCCTTCACACACTTATGGACAGGCACTCAATAATAACTCAAATTTCCTTCTCTCTTCTGAGTGCTGGGTAATTATTACTGCAGCTCAATATAATATGTACCACTATTCTTATCACACCACCACTCTTTCAAACAACAATTTATTATAACTTACATGCTTAGTCCAGCTGAGATGAACTAGTTGAACTGACTTCTAAGAATAGCCAGAGAGGAAACCAAAAGAGCAAAAATAAAATGGAAAAACAACAACAACGAACAAACAAACCTTGGTTCACCTGAGTAGAATATTATGTACTGAATTTCATTTCAAGCTAAGGGTGTCCTATGTCTGGAACTGTCTCAACTTTAAAAATGAGTCTTATGTTTCCTAGAGTGGCATACTGGAAATGGTTAATCTTAAACTGACACAGAGAAGCAGCAAAAACAAGGTGGTAACAAATTTGCTTCTGATGATGATGGGGGGGGGGAATCACTAATTCTTTATATATCTATTTCGCAGAAGACGTAACGAGTGCAATATTATTTATGAACAACAATTGAATTCCCACCACCAGCCCAGTTTCTAAAGAATTTCTGCAACATATCATAATAGTGGATACAAAAAGTGGAAGCATTAAGGGAAAAAGGGGTTACATTGAGGACGTAAGTATCTATTCACAAACATTTTTGTCGGCAGCACTAAACAACATCCTTGCCTATGCAGTAACTGTTCACTCTCTATCTGATACATATTTGTATTGTAAAAGCACTGTCCTCAATATGAATGGACTTTCCTTCTGTCAGTGATGCCTATGCATATCAGATCTGACCACCTACGTAATATTATACCGCCCTCCCATATATGCAAGCCATATTGGCTATGTTCACTACTACAATTGATCTACAATCACTGTCATCTGCCCTTCTAGCTGAATCTAGTTGATTACATAGTATCATGGCATTATTTTGTTCACTGTGTTACTACTGATTGCCAAGGACCTCTGTGCCGGGACAGCACTAGAATAATCTTGAAGATAAATTTGTTTTTAATCTATTGTAGATAAGATACAATTTAAAGATCAAATGTTTATTTAGGCCATTTGAATGCTAAGCATGGGAATTGTTATTTACTCTTCAACTGTTATTTTTTTGTCTCCAGCAGGTGGAGCCGGTTATTAAGCCGAAAACAACATTCCATTAGTCATTATTTCATTACAAATGCAGTTTTGGAACACAGCAGGTTTCGAGATTTTGAGGAAGTGGACAGTGCGAATATAACAAATATTCTCAATTTTTCTCATACTTGATGAAAGAGTGTGTCTCCAAGACAACCCACTGAAAAATTTCAGCCCCTGTGAGTTTTTTCTCATGTACAAGACTGAAAAGACCAGCATTCTTTTTCATCAACAGCAGCATTAGTGAAAAAAAATCGGTCTCTTGAGAAAAACATTTGTATTTTACATGAAATATCTTGCATTTTGAGTAAAATAAAAGTTTCTTGAAGCAAAAGACATCTTTAGGAGGGGAAAAAATTAACGCCATTGTTGCTGCTGCTGCTGCTGTTATAGGTTGTTATGTAAGAACTGACTTACAGTAACACTAATAATAGGATAAGGTAGTTAGAAAGTGCCTATGAGGGCCATCTAGTCCAACTCCCTGCTCAATCCAAATCAAAGTATATCTAATAGATGGCTGCCTAATTTTCTCTTCAACACATCCATTGGAATCCTCACCATCTCCTGAATGGTTGTACTGCTCTAAAAGTTAGGAAGTTTTTCCTGATATTCAGCCTAAATCTGGCTCTCTGTAACTTGAGCCCATTATTACATGCCCCACACTCTGTATGACTATCTTCCAAGTACTTGTAATGTGCTATCATATCACCTCTTAGTCTACTTTTCTCAAGGCTCAACATGCCCAGTTGTTTCAATCTGAGCATTTGTTTTTCAAAGGTTTCACCCACATCTTCTCCTTTATTAGGCAGTAGGCATTAGACTCCAACTACAACACTCCTATTTTTTTCCTGTCCCATATGCTCTCAATGGGGCAATCAAGCTTATCCTTCTATGTAGAAATATATATATATTTGACAAATACTGTGAGTCCACCTCCCTTTCTATACTTTCTGTTCTGTTGCATAGTATAAGTAACAGTTCTCACAAATGATGAACCCGTGTGCCAATCCTAATTACAAATTTCAGGTGAGAGCCCACTTTATATAATGTTTCCACATGGGAAGGGTGAGTCCAACAAACAGAAAACTAGTGATGACAGGAGATTAGGTTAGAGTTCTTCCCCAACATCTAACTAGCTATGTACAAATTTTCCTCAGTTTTCCCCATGGGGAGGATAGATGAACATTAGGTGACGCAAATCCTCAGTTTCAGTCTGAAGTGGCATTGCTCAGGAATAGACCAAAGTCCAGTTGCTTGGTGTAGTAGAGTAGGCCCATTAAATTAATTGGGATTTGGTTAACCAACTCCTACATTAAGTTCCACTGATTCAAATGGACCTACTCTAATTGCACCTTACAGTAGCATAGGCTTCTTTGAATCAATGGAATTTACAGTGGAGTTGATCCACTAAATTCCATTGAGTCAGTGCAATTTACTAAGCTAAGCAATAGGATTTTGGACTATGCAAAAGCCTTTGACTGTATGGACCACAGCAAACTATGGCAAGTCCTTAAAGAAATGGGAGTGCCTGACACCTTACCTATCTCCTGAGAAACCTATACGTGGGACAGGAAGCAACAGTTAGAACTGGATA